TAGCACCCCGGTGGCAATTTTGGCGAGGATCGCGCAGGCGCTGAGAATCAAATCGGCCGGCAAACCGTAAAGTTCGGAACCATCCAATGGACAACAGTAGAGTTGAAGTATCACCCTGGCAGGAGAATCCCCAGATTGGAGAACCATAATCGTCTCGGGCTCAACATCAGAGAGTTCCTCGGGCGGTGGACGGGGGTTTGGGAGTATCTTCAAGCTTGTGGCGTCCGCGTAGTAAAGTTGGTGGCGGTACGAAATCGTCATGTGACCGTGCAAAGCCAGAAAAGGATATCTCCTTTTAGACCACTTTTGGACATGTCACTCGAGAATGTGAATGTACGCCATGAATTTCGACCACAAAGTCTCAGATGAATAAAAATTGGGACCGACGCGGACGTTGATGAGAATGGACTCTCATACTTTCACCACCGATCAAAATGTTTGCAGTTGTTCGAATGACGCAGGCGCCACCGTAAGGAGTACTTTAACTTTGGCCGCACGGAAATCAAAATTGTACCTGGAATGATCGTATGTAATTTGATATTTGCGGAACTCGTGACGGTGTGACCACCCACGCTCTATATAAGGACGGAATGCAAGCGGAATGCATCACCGTCTCCCCGATGATGAATGACTCGGATGTAAGTTCGCAGTCTCGTCGTGGTCAGCACTCATCACCCCAGCAGCCCGTCACGGTGTCGTCCTGCCCACTTCCGAACCCCGCGGCCCGAGATTGTGGCCCTGTCTACAAGGACTGGTACACCACCTCGGAGCCCCTCCCAAAATGGTGGTCGTGCGACTGGCACAAATGGGCATTCAAGAGCTTCTTCGAGCCCCTGGGCAACCTCGCGCAGTTCTACGGAGACCCGCGCATTGAGGCTGTCGTAACTCTTAATATCGGGTTCGGCATTGCCGGTAAAACCGAGCCTCTTGCGTTCCACACGCAGGGGCACGGCGACTTTCTCTTTGTCGCGAACGGTATCTATTACGACTACGCCCCCTCGAATGAGGTGGTATATCGGTGCAATCAAGAGAAATATGCCAGCCATTTGGATTTCATTTGGCGCAGTGAGAAGGCGCCGAGCGCCGAGTTGCATAGGGTCAGGCCGTGGCCGTATGGCAGCGGGTATGCAGACGACGAGGGTAATCCGACGCACGAGGAGTGAACTCTGCATCATCTGTTGTACCCGGAAGTCCTCTCGTTGGATGTTTCAGGGGAGGAATAGTTGTCCTTTGCTCAAACTTCAATGCACCCCATTTGTAGGTCGGTCGCAAAATAGGTGCTTCACATAGATGAGGTTCAACTTCGTCTGCAAGCCGCCTGTCGCACTTGTGCAGACACACGGTTGTCGAAGGCATATCAGATGCATCTGAACTCAATCTGAATTACACTAGTACTGTAACACGATTGAAGTACAAATGATACACTCAGTTTCACATCACCATCGGCTACTTCCGCCACTCTTGTTCGAGCTTTTCGCCGTTTATTTCCACGGGTTTGGCGCCTATCGGTCAATTATGAGCCATTGTCTTTCCAGGTGAGTTCTAAATTACGCACCGAGGACAACAAAGTATATTCTCGCCCATTCGGCTGTTTCATTTCTCCACGCGTGCATTGTACCGCGTTGGATAATGGTATCCCCTTCATTCAGCGTGATTCGTTCGCCGTCGTCCAATTCCAGCACCATCGAGCCCTTCGCAACGATCCCGTAGTCCAAGGACACGGTTCGGTGCACAGGCTGGGAAGGGGGGAGAGTGAAGTAAGGTAAGTTCTATTTTTTTAAATTCCTTTTCGTCCAAAACGGATACATACCGAGACTGTTCCAGGGCTGAATTCGAACACGCGGAACACCGAGCCGTCTTTGCTGACGTGCTCCGGGTTCTGCGCGATCTCGTCGACCCACTTGCCCTCCGTGATCTCGCTATCAATCACCGCAGGGCTTTCTCCCGTGCGGCATAAATCGTATATCGGGCTGGTGCTCTTTGGTGACCAGAATGTCGCCGGCTGAACTGTGTCGGCCACTACCGTCGACTTTCCTGCTGCTGTGTGGCCGGTGACGACGCGGCGGACCGGGCTGAAGGGGGATTTCGAACTGGAACTGGTCATGAGGAGTCTGATGTGCGAAGTACGTTGCTCAGCGATGTGCTCCCCATTTATAGTTTCGAGATCCTCTTAATGGAGAAGACGGAGTGCCGTGGAGCAAGGCTGATTCACCTCACCGGAAAACACCCGATTACGCCATGGCCGTTACCCAATATGGATAAAATCTGAACATACCTACTTTCAACATTCTGTTTAGACGGCTTCGAGGCGGAAACGCGGTCCTCCACAGACCCCTATACCATTTTTATTTTATTTTTTGAGCTGATTTGAGCACGATTAGACGCTTTGGGATCCCTCATCGCATGGTTCACTTTGTAGAGCGATTCGGGGTTTGGTCTGGCTTCTCCCGGGTTTATCTACAGCTCAATATTTCTCAGACGACAGAGTGGTGCCAACATAATTTGAGCCATGACTCTGAGTTGTCTCTTCGATCGTATCGATCACATAAAAGAAGGCCCACAGCCGGCATAATATCTCCTCCTTCTTCCGTAACGCATGTATACCCGCCACAACCACACCAGCGAATCCGCTTCAGAATCCGCCAGCACTAACAGCCGATGATGTGCTCCAGTTGATTAAAATCTGTTTATGGGTTCATTTCTTTTTCCCGGCCGGTCTCTCTGCCCTATTCCTCAACAAAACCGTAGAATCTTCGGTTCATTTCCCACATACTATTGTGACCATGTTCCTATATCCTACCAATTGGTCAAAAGGTCGGAGCTCTTTCTTCAAGGCGCACAAGGATACTCCATGCGCTGAAGATATGATTGGATCCTGGATGGCGTATTCCCCACCGCACACAAGGGCGGCGTACTCTCTTTGTACCACGATAAAAAAGAGTGGGCTTTGACTCCGCTGCGGAGCTACCAAAACACTCTGTTACCGCAGGCCCCGCCATCGCCTACGTTGCATTCCGTAACACACGCAGTCGAGCCTGCCCTGGAAGGCCACCGCATCCCACTGACCTACAATCTTTCTCTCCTAGTCGCCCGATGTCGTGTGCCGAGAGGGAGCAGGTGAGCACCGTATCATTCAAGGCCCTTTCCAGAAATTGGAAGACATCCTCCTCGTGCTACTCGCCGATCCCGCCTTCCTGGCTACCGACGGCCTCCTCGCATTTGAGCTCACACACTAACACCCGATGCCAAACTTACCTCACAAGGCGCGCTCCAACGCGTTCTGAGCCGTCCTTACATTGATTAAATCTACACAGTTTGATTTCAAAGTCATTTCTGGAAATTCTACGGGACTCTTTCATTCGGTACGACTCAGCAATGTTCCACCGCAGTGATACAACGTTTATCCGGGCATCTGGTGTTACAAGGTTCGTCCTACACCCTCGGGATGTATACGCTCCCGGTGACACTATATCCCCGACAGTGCCGTCTTGAATCCGCCATGGCCACCATCGCGACCTCAACCTGCGTAAAAACACACACAATCCGGCACACGATCCTTTGATGCGCAATCGTGTCATAGTAGCCACTAATATCGGTTCCCAATTCCTACAACAGCCAACAGATCATGCAGCGCCTGGGGAGAGGTAGGGACCGGTACTCACCAGAATATCATTCGTCTTGAGCTCATATGGATATGAATCTTGACCCTCTGCGCTGAGCCGTCTACCGTTCACAAAGGTGCCGTTCGCACTCCGGGTGTCGCGTATGAAAATCTAGATCGAATAATGTCAGGAGTGACATTGAGGCACATATGAGCACGCACCTTGTTTCCTTCCTGCCATACCTCGGCGTGCCGCCGACTGACAACGCTCGAGTCGAAGTTTACCTGTTTTGTATGCAGCGGCGTGGAATTGTTCGTCTTGCGTCCGAGCTGGACTCGGCGACCGGGGGTGGTGAGGGCGACTTGTTTGGGGATGAAAAATGAGTCGTTGAGGGGATGGAGGTATAGCGCAGGGAAGGCCGGAGACGTCGAAAGCATCGGGGCTGGCATGGTGGCAAAGGGAGGAAAGTGAAAACTCGTGCGATAATCTAGGCACGGCTGGGTGGAGTATTAGCCTGTAAGAAGTGAGCTTAATCCAGATAGCTTCTCTTCCTAACTAGAATCTTGGGATACCGTGTCTGGTTCAAAGAATATAGAATGAATTGGAGCTGAAGTGCCGGAATCAGGCATGCAGATATCTCGGAAGGTGGGCGGAGAACAGAACAAAGATGAGGGGAATATTGAAAACAGTTCGGGGGCTGTTTCTTTACGTGAGGTCAAGGCCCGGCATCCTCGAAGATTCAAGAGTTCGTAACGTACAATAGGCAAAGCGCATACATCAGGCCATTGTTCGGCTGCTAGGTGAGCGGCGTCTGGAGAAGTACGTGGGTAATCAGCGATTCAAGGCAGCGGAAAGAAAAACATATTCGAGACTTCGGGAATTTCCGTTGGTTTTGCGCAGGCCAAATGCTGCAGCCACGGCGGTGGATGCTGTCTTACGCTCCAGGTGAGTCTATGCTTCGCTGTCGTGCCGTTTTGATCGCGCTGGTGAAGTTGAAGTTGGCACAAGGCATATATCAGCTTATTTTTTCCCCACTCTCCAAATTCTCAAAAAAAAAAAACTTGATATATGGTCCGACTCATTCTGACTAGGGAGACTAGGCACAAGGTATGAAGGATGGAATCATCACATCGGAACTTTCCACGCTTCGGCGAGCGGACTCCTTAACCTGCGACGGACTAAAGCGGGACAGTAGGCTGGGAACGTTTGCTAGAATATTATTATTATTAGTGAAATTTTGGCCGCTGTGGGGAGCGTGGGGAAAACAATTTATCAATCTCTCCGAGTCTCAGCAAGTTTCAACACTCAGTGTCGGATTCATTGCTTCCCTCTCTCCTTATTAAAATCCACCCGCGTTAACACGGTGTATTCATTGATGTTTGAAAGAATAATACCCCTGGCCTAATGGTGTACCGGTAACATGTCCTCTTTCAGTTCTCATAGTGCTTGTGACTGTCTGAGGAAGCTCTCTGTTCGATTCGGGGTCAGGCTACGGGCCAATTTTTCGCGCGCTTTTTTGCGACTGTCCTGGGTTGGATTTTGGAAGGTCCCTCTGCTCGCCCTCAAATGGACACAATTCGAAGCATAACGCTGGCCGGATGGTCGTCAGCCCTTTCGGTCGCATCGAGCACTGGAAATCCAGGGACAACTTAATAAAAACACGTACACTGGTTCTGAGCAGTCCAAATATTGTCCGGATTAAAATGACGTTCAACCGATCCGATGTATGGAAATTAAACGTCAAATTTCTGGCCCACATGCTTCTCGCTTAACTCCCAAAGCTTCCTCGCGGCCTCCTTTTGTCGGTGAAACAAATTAAATCAGCCTTGACGCAACTTATGCTGAGAAACTTCGACAGACCTTGTCTGTAGCGTGCGGAGCAGCCTGCTCGGGTGTCAGCTTGCAGTCAACGAGGTACGAGCCACTCTTGTCTAAGTTGAACGTCAAAATTTGACACACGCCAGTTGTTCATCGTTGCGATTACGCATCAGCGATGGACGGGTCGAAGCCTGCGACGAAATGCCTGCGCACCCATAAATGGTTAAGAATAATAATAAGAAACGGGGTATCACTCACGTCGCAGTCCCCTGGCCAATACTGCGCATCCAGTCTATTTGGCGTACTATCATGATCGGGTTGAAGTAGTCGGAGAACTTTTCGAAATCCTCGGCGGTCATCGAAGCACCCGAATTAGTGGCTGCACCTCCGGGCTGACGGACGGAGAAGTTGGGTGTTTTGGCTTTGGGGAGTGCAGCGAAGGAGACAGAAGTTACACACATGGGCGGAGAACACGACGAGCCTACCCTTATAGCGTTCGGCGAGCTTAACGCCGTCAAGGATGACAGCCTTCCATTATATGTTAGGTGAGGCGATGAATGGTGATACAGTATAAACCGTCTTACTTTGGCCGCTTCAATAACTTGTCAACCAATCTACGAACAGGAACGAAGATGGACAAACTATGCCAGCCATTTATCGTAGCTCTTGCCGTGCTCGAAATTATAATCCTTTTGACGTAGGTCAGGGGATGGCGTCAATGCTTGAAACAAATTCTTTAACTCACGTCAAACCATACTGAACCCGAGAAATGACCGACGGAGACCCCACGGACCACGCGAGGCGCTGGAGCCTCAAGAAACTTGGGCATGATGAGGTTGACGAAGAGGTAATGGCCAACGTTGTTGCTTGCGAGCTGAGACTCAATTCCATCGACCGTCTTTTGGTACGGTGAACCCATGTACCCAGATATGGCAGCATAGTCAGTCATTGCTAGGAGAAGGAGAGAAAAATATACGCAAAAGGCCAGCATTCGTGATAACGACGTCAACGTGGCCGGAGCACTTGAGAACTTCCTCAGCGGCCTGGCGCACGGACTTGTTGAGCCGAGATCGAGTACAAGTGCATTGAGCTCTACGGCGGGAATTTCTTTCTTGATTTCGTCCGCGGTGGCCTTGATCCTGCCACGAAGAAAGTCTCATACTTAATTCATGCTCATATAGAAAGTAGGAAGTGGTCGAACTAGCTTGGACTCCGAACTGCAAGGACCACTTTCGCCCCGTACAGCGCAAGCGCGCGCGCCGTGTCAGCATCGAAGCCTCCAGGGGACACGCCAGTTACGATTACTATCAAGTTCTTTAGATCTTGCTCTCCATGGTGGAGCGAGACACAGACCGGTCTTGCCCATTGTATAAGGTCGGAGAGAAGTTTGTGATTGGGAGTGCCTGTGGGAGCCGGCAGTAGCTGCGGTACCGGTACGCTTGCCAGCGCATGCCAAGGGAGGACTCTCAAATACTGAAGGACAATATTAAGAATGAACGGGTTCAAGCGGCGAGTGTGAACCGTTGTCGGTGAGCTCATCTAACCTGCAGACCCGAAATCTCTTTTCTGCATCTGTACGCCGGCGTGGGCGTAGATCGGGACACCAGTCGTTTTTGATCCATCTCCTGAAATTTTTGCACGATTTACGATGTGGCGAGCATACTAGACGACAAGGAACTTGAAAAGACAATCAAAAAGACAAGGAGAAGAAGCGGCCGGAAGTACCCGCACCCGAATCGTTTCAATGATAGCCGAAGGGACTTGGCATTGATCAATGATTACTACCTCTCGACCAGAACCACCATGCCTGTATCCTTCCCAGTAGCAACACACCCTGCCAAATCGTTCCTATTCAACGGTCGCGACGGCTACACCGCCGAGGAAGTACTTGCCGCGGCATGCACAGACCAGCATACGAAAGCTGGCGAAATCCTCCAGTTCTCGCTCCCCAACGTCGACGGATCGTACGTTTCAAATTCGGACCACTGCACTAATGATATGCTTATCCAACCGTTACTGAGTGGGCGCAACCTCGGCGCAAAGATTCCGAATCTCATCCCCAACCCAAATGGTTTTGTCGCGACCTTGCTCGAGGCGTATACGCAGGACCGTGCACTCGTAATTCGCCCAGACGACGTCTGGCACGCCATTCTATCACAGTTCAACTTCTTCGTCAGCGCGCGTGCAGAGCTACTACGGGCCAATTTTGTAGCACGTGAAGGGAAACGGGAGCTCGTCATCGTGACTGCGGGAACTCGCTACACTGTCGACTTCGGCGACCTGGCACACCAGATGACTGGCCTCATCGAGAAAAATGTCGTCGATCCGGAGCTACGCGCGTGGGCGCTGCCGAACTTCACGACGACTACTACGAACGACACAACCGTAAGCGCAGTCCTTTTCATGGCAACGCTCAAACAGTATTTCACGTACAAAATCATGCTTTGGGGGTGTGGCATACCGCGTGTGACGCTTGAAGGGGAGCGGTCGGACTGGGTGAACATTCTCGGGCGGCTCGAGAAGCTCAAGGAGTACGGACTCGAGACTACGGCGTGGTATCACCTCCTGCGGCCCGTCATCACACGCTTTATCGCAGCGTTCGACGACCCATCGAACCCTGCCAACGTCGATTTCTGGCAACGTATTGCACACTATACACCCGGCGGCAGCGGGCGAGGCGACTATTACACCGGATGGATAACCGCCTTCACTGTCTTCAGCAAAGAGGGCAGGTGGCAGGGGAATGATCTATTAGACGCGGTATGTGCGAATAGAATTACGAAATATCATGCGACATTTATTCCACCAGACGCTCGCTCGCGGCGACGTTCCCCCCGAGGCACTCCTCTCGGCGGAGTTCTGGGCAACGTACGGGCACCCAGCCATCATCAAGGATCTCGTGTTCGACGGGACGCCTTACCACAAGGTAGGCCGCGAACAAGTCCCGCCAGGGTACGGCGAGGTGGACGTCAAGCTCATCGATAACGGGGAGGCCTTTGAGTGCGCGATGGTTGCCGGCGTCATCGGCACGCGTGTCTCCTCCAGCAACGACCGCGCGCTGTCCGCGAGTGGCAAAGACGACACGATGCAGTCCGCTGTGGGGTGGTGGATGTTTATCAAGAAGGAGGAAGGAAAAGAGGCGAACGCCAACTAGACGTCCAGCAAAATTGGTGGAATGAAGCGCGTTAACTACCAGTCGTACTAGCTAGGCACAAGTTTATATATGCGTAACAACCAGCGGCAGCCAAAGCCGCAATTCACCGGCTCGCTGTGCCTCCAAGGAAAGCAAAATGATTTCCTGTCCGGTTCTATGCAGGATTGTTGGAGGTTCGCACACGAACGAATAATATTAACTATCCCCGATTTTTCCCGGTGAGCTATTCCATCATTTTGATTTCTTGAGGAACGTGTCGACGCACAGATATTCCAACCCTCGTCCCAAATTATGAACATGTGGGGTACAGAGATATACCTCATGATCCGCACGTCTATCCTGCCGGCTACATACTTCGGGTTCGATGACTCTCAATTCTCTCTGGCGGTCATTGTACGTGTAGGTGCGATTCAAAACTACATATGTCAACGAGGAAGGAACGACGAGCTCTAATTAGGTCTAAATATGGTGGGTCTAGATTAATAAAATATGCACTGCACAAGTGAGATGTAGTCCGTGAGATGTGGTCTAAGATAGGATTAACGATGCCATAGTAGTCTCCCGCAGGATTTCGCTCATTCATGAGCACCCGAATCCCAGCTCTGACAGCTTATACCGCCCCATTGAGAGATGGAACGCACTGGGATACGTCAGCGTCAGATTGAGTCAGGAAGAATCAACAGGACATACATGAACCCATTTTCGAACGCCTCCCACGCCGCTAACGCCTCTGGTTGTTTTTCCAGGGTCGCTGTAATACGGTTATGCAGATCGGCGCACTCTTGCACCATCTCAACCAATACCCTTTTTGGGTGCTTAAGCGTGGTTTTGGAGCGCACATGTACATAATTCGTATTCTCGCCGGCGAGTTCTTCTTTATAAAACCTAGGGGAAAAATGAAACGATGCGCTGCATGCCAAAAGGAGGGACAAACGAAAGTATGTCATTTGCTAGGCACGAAAAGTCGTCGATGTCGGGGAGCACCTGGATGTACGCGGTGATGTCGGGGTGTGTCTTCTTCGGGAAGACGGCGCACGCGGCCGCGGGACCTAGTCCGCTCTTTGCACGGAGGTACTTTGGCCACCCCGCCGCAGTTGGCCGGACATCCATCGCGCTGACCTGCGGCGCGTTTTCGAGGACAGTGCCGCTCACAAATTCCAGGGCCGCGCACGCCATCGCGTTGGCACAAACCGGATCCCAGTAGTCGTATAACTTTCCAAGGACCTCCTGGTAGTGCTCGAGTGCGGCGTCTTCCTGAGGACGTCCTAATAAAAGACGCCGTTGATAATCCTCGTGGGAAGATTTACCGGCACCGTCGTCGATGTAGAAGAAGAACCTGCATTCTGAATTGTGAATGGGCAGGCCTTGAACTTCACAGGAAGGATAGCTACCACGCATAAAGAGAGAAGGCGAGCTTGGCGTCGAATGGGAGGTGGGAATACCAAAACTACAATGAAAGTTTCATCAGCACAGCCGCAACTGAGTACGAGTAGGCGCGACACCAACCTGTATGAGAGTGA